TCACAATGCAACGGTCACTGCCTTATGGTCGTTGACATTTACGAAGATTAAGTCCAAGTTCCAAGTCCAAGTTTGGTCTATCCTGTTGATCTAATCATGGGTGGGATTTCTATTCAGATAGTTTATATGGGTGTAAATGCAGTGATGGTTATCCATGGTAATTAAAGTGTGTTCTTTGTTAATCTGAACCATGGATTCTCTATTTCTAATTAATGTTGTGATTACTATGTATACTACCTTTAGAGCAAATGGCTGAAATTCTTCATAGCAGAAATTGCTACATTGACATTTTCCTGACCATTTTGTTAGAATTATTATGTTTGTACAACAAAACAGATTCCATCTGAGTAATATTTATTTGTAAAATAGCTATGTTTATACAAGGGTTTGGACACAAAGACATTTTCTGTAAATACCACACCCTAAAATATTTTCTTTATCAAGGATATAAGCAGCAGTTTCAAAATGTCACCAGAAAAATATAGCAGCTACATGATTGTTGCAAACAGTTATATAGCAGACTGGGGTCAAAGTAAACATTTTAACATTTGGATTGAGTATTATAATTTTCCAAGAAACAATGGCAAATTAACACAATACTGGTTTCCAAACGAATCAATGCAGCACTGTTAAATCCTTATAGATTTTCATGACATTTGACTGAGCAGCCTAAGGGCATTGCTAGTTATGACTTCAGATCTGTGTTGGAAGCTAATTGAGCCCCTACTGATTTCTCAGTGTGGCATAGCCAGGCACTTTCCAATGCACCAGGCTTGGCTACCTCCTGCTGCTGTGGCAGATTTTTGTGTATTATGGATTGTGTGTGTGTAGAGGGGAACGGGGAGGACACTCAGCTTGCTGCATGGGCTTCAAGCAACATCTGGTAATGCTCCAAGATAGTTGTTGGCAATGTTGCTTTTCAAATGGTTTGTGTACATGGTAGCAGAAAGCAGAAATAATAAGACGTAGGAAAACATTTCTTAATGCAGTTCATTAAAAAGCAAAAACTTGTGCTACGCAAGTCGCATATACTTTGTTACACAATTTAAAGTAACTCATTTTAGAACATAGAAACAGTACACTTGCCATGTACAGAGATAGTAAGTGCAAATTGCACTTAAAGGCAGCCACGCAGATAATTGGCATTTTTAACAGATAAAAAACTCAGCAACAAATGTTTGTTAGGCACTAAAGCATTCATCTATCACAATTTCATTTATTTTAAAATCATCTGAAATGATTTAGATTTTACATAAATATCTAATTTATTTTTTGATGCTGTTGAACTAGTTATCAATGAGTTTTCACTATAAAATATTTCAGTGCATTAGTAAATTCAGTTTCAGCTCTAAGCTTGGAGCACCAAAACATTAAAAGTTTACTTGTACATTTAGAATTGCACATTAAAATGTTAGTAGCCCTTAGTGATATAAAATAGCTGCTTGTGATGCATGTTTGCAATAAGAAAAGGACAGAGAAGTCTAAGACCTTCCTTTCAACCCAGAATATTTATACCATATACTCATACACAATTTCATTTGTGGCAAAGGAAAGTATGGCTGACCTTGCCAAACCTGTCATCTTCCTTCTATCCAAAGCGTTGGAAAAGAGACTCTGAAACAGCGAGTCCATTCTAGGCATGTTATAGCTCCATATTTAGTAACTTCCTCACTTCTGGTTTGGTCTGCCCCTCTGCAGAGCATGGAGGGCAGTGGGCTTGAGCAAAAGAATGAAACAAGGCAGAGCTAACAAACAATAGAAATTAGGTGACATGACATCCATATGGGGTACTCTACTCTTGGATGCAGAGATGGAGTAATCATGTTATAATTTTTGTTTCTTCAAATGAACAAGCTGGTTGGAAAACCATCGTTTGTCTAATTGACTTCTCAAGTATTGGGGTTACATCTCAATCTGCCTTTTAAATAATCAGTGGCTCCCAGCACTGGGTTGGTCTGTCCTCACTGGCTGTACTGAGAATTAGGTGGGATTGATCATATTGTTTTCCCCCTAAAAGAAAAAAAATAGTTTAAATTTAGTCAGATTATTATGATTTATCTTTGGATTGAACATTTCAGACATCTTAAAACATCCACTCCTATTGTCTTGTTTTGCAAAGGTATTTCAAAAACACATTACACCATGTAATTATATTATAACCCAACATATGATTTATATGTAGTCTTGGACTTACGACCACAATAGAACCCAACATTTCTGTTGTTAAGCAAGACAATTGTAAAGGGAATTTTGCCCTTTCTTGCCACAGTTGTTAACTGAATCACTGTGGTTGTTAAGTTAGTAACAGGGTTAAACGAATCTGGTTTCCCATTGACTTGCTTGTCAGAAGTTCACAAAAGATGATTACATGACCTCAGGACACTAAAACTGTCATAAACCAGTTGCCAAACATTCAACATTTGATCACATGACTATGAGATGCTGCAATAATCATGTGAAAAACATTTTTCAGTGTCATTGTAACTCCAAACGATCACTAAAACAAAAGGTAGGTCAAGAACTACCT